CATTATTTATGTCTTTCTTACAATGTCTAGGTAAATCAACTGATTTTTTTCCAAATTAGGCCATCTTTTGCTTGATTACATATTTATTATACTGCATTTTATTATACAATGATATGCAACACGTGTATGCATTATTTTGAACTTTAAATATATCTGTCATAATTATTTTTTTCAATATTGATCAACATAGTATACATTAGATACTACAACATTTCCTCTATTAATGGTGATTTTTGTTGTTGTTTTAACTTTTTTTTTCAATATATATTTTTGCTATTACGACTATCCCCTAAATTTTAAAGATTTTTTCTTCTTTGTAATTATATAATATGATTATAAAAAAAAAAAAACATAATTCATAATATCAGGGTATAGTGATATATGACCTTTTCTCAAAAATAATGTTTTATTCCATCTTAGGCATAAGCAGAGGTATATTTTTATATAGTAAAAAGGGTGAAGCAAAAACCAAAATATTATCATTATATATAAAAAAAATATCGTTGTGAAATTAAAATTTTTTTTTCAAACTTCTAGGGTTAGAAGTTAAAAAAATTGATTTTGAAAAAATAAACAAATGACTGGTTCACACTAAAATAGCATTCAAGGAAACTGATAGTTTAATACGCCATGATCATTTTCGGCTTATTTAATTTTTTTAATTATGAAACTAAGCTATCTATCTACTAATTTAAAATTTTCAATTATAAGATTAAAATATTTAGTTTCCATTAACAAACCAACAACAAAAAAAAAATATAAAATGTTCATATAAAATGTTCACTATAGTTAACGACCATAGGCATTTTAAAAGCTCTAAACTTTTCTAAATTAATTGACGCATGCATACCTAAACATAGCGCTTTTTCCTTATTATCAAAATGACCCTGTGCTGTGCGTAATGTTACATCATTTTTCCATCTCTCTTTAAAATCATACTAACACTGTAATGAAGGTTTGCCATTTTTGAATAAATGTTAAATTTTTGAATAAATAAGCTGTTAGAAAACAATCTTTTATATGGCACTGTTGCAAACGCTCAGCGAAATCTAAAAAAACAATACTAACGGTTTTACCATTATATAAGGCGGTTGAATAAAATCGATTGTTTCAATTAGATTTGTTGAGCATGACTTATTTTCAACAAAACCGTACTGTTGCTTGACTATTAATTTGAAATTATATAGAAAAGTGTCAAGTTTACATCTGATTATGCTATCTATTTTTTTGCATACAATTGAAGTAGGTTTCCTGTTAAGGTTTTTTTCCCTTTTTGTACAGAGGAGTAATAATTGCTGATCAAAATTTCACTAATATTTTGTTGGTTTTAAACGACTCTTTAAAAATATACGTATGTAAAATGGCGAAGGCTTATGCACAATTCTTTAAAATAGCTGAATGTAAATTATAACACCAGTTGATTTTTTTTCTTACGAATTTTTTAATCTTAGAAGGACATTTTCATATGTAAAATCTTCTTTTTTTATTATGAATGTTTCAGTAGTTCTTAAATCAAAAGAAGACAGTAGACCATCATCTTCTTTCACAAATGCAACTTTAAAGTTTTTGTTTAAGATATCAGGAATATCTTTTGAATTTTAAGGGGTTTCACCATTTACTCCCTTTAATGCTTTTATAGAAATTTTGATGGATTGTTGATTGTTCATGTAGCTGAAGAGAAGAATTTTTTGTGGCTCTTTAATCAGATTAAACTCAAAGTTTTGTCGCACTTTTTAAACCAATTTGTATTTAGATTTTAACACCGGGTTTTTTTATTTACACGAGCAATTTTTATTTCTTAAGTTTTGTTTGTTTTTAATGAGAAACCTTAACCTAGCATTAACCCAGGCATTAACCTATTTTTAAAAAATTCAATGTCTTTTAACTGGAGTGAAATGATTAGATGCCACCTTGGTATAAAAAATCATTTCGTCAAACATTTCTTGAACATTTTTATTACTAAAGCATTGTATCCAGTCAACATTTGAAATAAGATCAGATATGAGTTCAAAATTGAAATTAGCAAACATAAATCTTTGCTTAATTTTATTGTCATGGATTGCATTATTAGACAGGATGAAACTGAAAAATATTATTAGATGGCCTCTGTTTATGTTTTCCAAAACAAATTTTGAATCAATTTCATTACCACTGGCTTGCTGACTGAGTTGTAAAGACCAAGTCTAAGGTATTCACAAGTTGTTCATCTGACAGCTGGAAAGTTGATATGTTTATATGCTCATGAAAAAAATTATCATTTAAAGTATCTATAAACTTTTATTCAATTCCATTGTTATTTGAAATTTCATTAAACAGCTATTTGACCAGCTAATTAATAGAAAATTGAAGTCGCCCATAATCAAAAAGTCTTTAAACTTATTTTTGTTTATATATTAACGTGCGGGGCCGGCATATCTAAAAAATTATTTGGGCTGTAGATACATCTAAGTATGTACTTGTCATTATCAAAATAAACAACTGCCCACACTTGTTCTTGTTTACGGGGATTTAGAACAACATCATTTAGTGTATAGGAGTCTAATGTGTTGTCTATCTATAAAAATCACGACCACCTTTTTGTCCGTCTGAGTTTTTTTTTCTATAAAGATATATACACCTTCAATGTTTACCACTGAATCATTTTTAAACCGTCTCAGCCACATAAATTATAGTTGATTTGTATTGTTCAACTACCACCCTAAAGTCATTTAATTTCATTGCAATCTGACACTGAATTATATAGAAACTTCTTGATCTGATTTTTTTTGAATTTGATGATAATTTTTGAACGCTAAAATATTTTACTATGAAATTTAATATAATTTTTGAACGCTAAAATATTTTACTATGAAATTTAATATAATTTTTGAACGCTAAAATATTTTACTATGAAATTTAAAATTTATCTATAAATATAAGTCTAGTTGAAAATAGTACAAAAAATATTTCATCAACTTGTTGCTCTCACGTTTGGGATAGGGGTGGCAAAAATTTTAGGGCTTTTTTGTTCCAAGGCTCCAATAATCGCAATTTTTTGCAAAGCATCCTTATTTGACATAATTATAAACATTTAAATGTTTGGAGTTCGCTCCATGTTTTGAAGTTAGCAATCTCAAAGACCAAAAAACGCTGGATCCGCCCCTGCCAAAAGGATTATTGTTTGTTCTTGCTTAATTTATTTTATTTATTTCAGTTCTAAGGTTAATATCTAGGAGTCTTATGTCACACATAAAGATAAATATCTTTATGCGCGACATTACTTCTCAATTTTTTAACTGATGTTACTATTGTGTTACAAAGAATATCCTCAGCTCAACAAGAATCTAACTTGGTTTATAAGTTTTAGATCTCAGCCATCTAACAATTTTTGGTATTCATTATCTTGATGAGCTTAAAAATTTCATTCACTTTTGACTCGTCTTATTTTGATTTTAATTCTCTTTTTTCTTTAGTTGATTCGGCTGTTCTATAAATAATAAAATTTTTTGCTCTTTTTTTTCTCTTGTCTAATTCATTGATGGTTACATTTATTACCATCAGGTGCTCTTTAGGCTTCTTTTTTTGTACACCCTGTTTGACACTATTTTTGTCCATTTTAGATTTTTTTTTGTTTTTAACTTTTATTACTTGTTCAAAGAGTTCCAAAAAATTGTTAGAAAGCTGGTTACACTAATTATAAATGCCCTAAGTTGTTTGAGAGTGTGAATCAGAACCCAATTTTGGCCAATAGTTCTGTTTAACAAAATCTAAATTCATTCCTTAATAAATATTGTCTACTCTTAATTAAATGGGCTATCAACGTGAGCAACAGTGGATTACGTCTTGTTGTGAATTTATTAATATAGTTATATATTATATATATAGATTAATAATAAATATATATATATATATATATATATATATATATATATATATATATATATATATATATATATATATATATATAATATATATATATATATATATATATATATATATAATTAAACCATTTTTTACTGACATAGTTTCGTCAATTAAAAACTTTTACTCACTTAGTTTTGTCAATTAGAAATAATAATGGTATACCTATTGCAGTTAATAAAAAATTATGTAAACTACATTATATTTTCTGAATATATTTTCGGTGATGTATTAAATTAACGAATTGTAAATTTAGAGTCAAAAATGTGAAATGTTTTAAATTAAATTTTTTTTTTTTTATTGGAGCAGCTAAAAACACTCCTATTTGCGGTGAAGCTTGTAATGAATAAGGAACAACTTAATCGTCTCCAAATTCTACTTCTAGGTAAAGAACCTCAACAGCTAAATAAGCATTTTAAATGAATTAATTTAAAAGCCTAATTAATTTTACTCAAGCCGCTCAGCATCCAAACCCACATTAAACATATGCAATCAGATGAGTCAAATTTTGATGTCGGGGGCGGCATAAATATGTTAATTGATAAGCGTTGAATTAAGATAGCACGATCAAAGCTATTTTACTGCCTTGACCACGTTATTTTAACTGATGTGATGTGGTTGAAACAATTTTAAAAAATTTTTTTCGGCTATTGTTTTAATACAAAAAGTCCTAATCCAAAAAAAGTTTTCTTTTTGGTATTGTGTGAGGCATTGTGTACTAGTGTATATATATATATATATATATATATATATATATATATATATATATATATATATATATATATATATATATATATATATATATATATATATATATATATATATATATATATATATATATATATAGTTTTGTATCCGTTATTGGTAGTAGTATATTGTAATATTATTAAATAAGTTATTTATCTACATAATAATTTGTCTACAATAAAACAATAACTCAACCTTCCTTTAGCTTTGCAATATAAAAATGTAAAAACAAAAAGGTTGAATTGTGTCTGACTAAATAGAATGCGTCACTTAATTGAACTAAAAAATTTTTTAATTGATCTTTGACAGCTTGATTTTTAAAGATAATTTCTTGGTGCCTATTTTTATAACTTAGCGAACGATCTTGATGTGTCGATTTTAAAACGGTCGTTGTTTTTATGCACAAATCCATTATGGCGTATAAGTTCTCCATATGCGATATGAATAGGGCGAATAATTTATAATTTAAGTACTACATGCCGATAAATAATGAGTTTAGCACTGCTTTGTTTTCCTTGTTGTGTAGATGAGCAGCCTCCGCCTGTAAGTGAAAATTTTAAAGTTTAAGTTATAGTTTATGAATTAATTATGGGTTTGTTTATGTAAAAGGTATGAGTTTGTTGTTTTTGTTATCATTATTACAATTAATATTATTATCTCAAATATAAGACTTTTATTGAAGCTTCTTGATTGAAGTCTTCATGCAATTTATGGGGTATTTCACTATGATGCACCAGTATTTTAACGAAAGATCTTAAATGAACTTCAAATTATTTAACATAAACTTGCTAGAAGTGGTGATTATATCAGTATTACTGGAATTTGACACTTTGAATTATTATTTTAGCTACATTTATAGACGATAAAACAGTTGCTAAACGAGCAATAAAAGTATGGTCAAATATTTTCAAAAAACATTAGTATCATTTATCTACAATGATATTATGGAGTTAATGAAGTCATTAAAGTAACTTATCTTGAAACCTGATTTTGTTAATCATTTTACTCATTGTGTTCTTAGAAATTATGAGTTAAATAAAAAGAGTAATCTCATCTCATAAGCAATCATCAACATTGGGAGTACTTTGTCAAATATTATAAGAGTTAATGAATTTTTTAATGTTTAAAAAAATGTTTTCTTTAATCTTAATTGGCAGTCCTAAATATGCATCCTAGAAAAAATTGCTCAAGATCATCTGACTTTTTTTGTTGATTTATTTTTCTTCAGAGTGAGTGAGTAAGTTTTTCAAAAATACTTCTTTTTTATTTACCCCACCCTCACTTTGGTGCAACTAAATTAAAATTAATATAAATTTATTTTTCGCATTAAATAGCCTACCAAAAGTCGGTAGCAGAAAAATAAAAATTATCCTATTGAAAGTTTTTTTTAATTGGTTGAAAAATATCACGTGTCACATTAAAATAGCTAAATAAATATGTTTTTAAACTAAATTGACATAATATTCAGTAGTCTATTGGTTATATTCAGTACACCATACACAGGTGCTCCGGGTTCGACTCCTCTTCCTAAGGAATATATTTTACATTTTCATTGTTTTTTTAGGTTTTATTACGCTTATTAGTTGAATAAATTGTTTAGGGATATATGCTGGGAATAGCACAATGAGTGTTCTTGCATTAAAAGACGCAACAGAGTGTTCATACACTGACTGATTTAGGGATAGGCACCGAGGAATGTACATGCATTTACAAATTTAGGGATAGGCGCAGTAAAGTGTGCATTCGTTTAATAATTTAGGGATAGATGCAGTGAAGTGTACATACATTTACTAATATAGGGATAGGCGCTGTTGAGTGTACATGCATTGACTGAGGGTTTTGGTATGGGATGGCAGTCATTTCTATTTATTTAATGGAAAATCCTATTTAATTTTGAAAATTTTTATCGTTTTTATTTTTTAAAAATAATATGTTAAATTTTCTTTATTTTACGGTATAACAAATATTGTTTATTTTGGCATGTGATATTCTCCACCAATAAAAAAAACTTACGGTAGGATAGTTTTTATTTTTCCACTACCAACTTTCGGTAGGCTATCCACAGCGTTTATTTTTACTAACTTTAGTGTAAAAGACTTGAAAAATTTTTTAACTACCTAAAGTTTTAAGATTTATATATGTGTGTGTGTGTGTGTGTGTGTATGTATATATATATATATATATATATATATATATATATATATATATATATATATATATATATATATATATATATATATATATATATGTATATATATATATATATATATATTTATATTTATATATTTATATATATATATATCGTTAATCTAATATAATAGATAGTATTCAAAAAATATAATGTTCATCGAAGAAAATGCAATGTGCAACAAAAAATTTGATATAATAAAATAATTTTTAGGTTTTTTTAAATTTGACATGGAATAACCCTTTTTTTTTTCACTTATTTTTATGTCACACGATTTAAATGTCAAATAAAATTTAAGTTTCAACATAACATTCTTACTTATTTAATTGTTTTTAATAAATAACAGAATATAAATTTATTTTTTATTTAAGATTTGTTTTGAAGTTTTTTGTAAACATTTGAGATAAGCATGTAAGCTTTAAAAAATATGATCTAAACTGATTATTATTTTTTTTATATCAAAACAGTCTCAAACAAATAAACTTTATATTAAATAAATAATTATATAAATAAATAAAAATAAAAAAAACAAATAAGTAAATATATAAACAAATAAATTTTATATCAAAACAGACTCAAGCAAATATACAAATAATAACTTTTCAATTGATATTATTTTTGCTTTGATATTTTTAACCTTATATATATTTTTTTTATAAAGTGCAGGGCTCGAGTTAAGCGTATCACGATTGCTTTTTATACTTTCGCGATTAGTTTTTTCTTAAAACATATATTTTCGCGATTAGTTTACTTTTTTAGTTGTTAATTTACTATTTTTCTAATTTAGCTTTTTTTTGGCAAATCCTAAAAGTAATGTTTTCATAGTAAAGTACGTCATGCAAAGTTTGTCTTTTGAATAGAAGCATGATCATTTGTTCTTTCGCGCGGAGATTTTTATTCAACGTAAAGCACTTTTTAATCTAAATTACTTTAAATCTCTGCGTAGAAGCAAATTAAAAAGACAAAAGTTAAAAACAATTTTTTCTTCATTTTATTTTTTTTAACAAAACAGCATTTTTATCTTTTTTTTAAAAAAGTGTTGCTTGAAATTAACTTACTAATAATGAATTATATTATTATTTTATAAACAATTTTATATAATTATTTTTACTACTTTAAGTATAATTAAATATCTATTAATTCGTTTTTCTTAAATAAAATTTCTATTAGTAAAATTGTACTAATAGAAACCAGCAACTTTTTTGCTTTCACGTTTTTTGCTTTAACGATCTTGAAACTATTGATGTTATATTTAGTTAACTTTACTGAATGGATAGAGTATATCACAGTAAATTAACTTATAACCTTAATCAAAACAACCAGTTAAGTTAAGATAGTAACTTACAGTTATTAAAGTATTAATTTTACAATTATATTAATTTATTTAATATACTCGCAAAAGTTAGCCATAGGCATGTTTTAATATAGATCTTAATGATGTTAACACATAGTATAAGCTTTTAACTAATAATTATTTTAACAGAAATTGTCGAATTGAATATGAAAAACGCGACACCATTTTTTATATTTTCATTTTATTTATCATCTAGACTAAATATTATCTATAAATACGCAAGTTGTTTTCAGGAATTTTATTTAAAAAGAAATCTATTTGAACAAGAGAACTTTAGCCTTAAAATTCACTTATTTAAATAATTTTGTGATTGAAATTTGAAATCGAAAAAAAATTTAAAAAAAGTTTGATGAAACAAGGGAGAATGAAAATGAAAGTTTTTTTTTTGTAAATCGTAAATTTTGTTAACGTTTTGAATTATATATTTTTTCTTGAAAATAGTTTTAAAAGTAGAAAAATTCTATTGCAAACATCTAAGCAGTGAATGCAAATTGCAAGTTAAAATAAAAATTATAAAAAGTTTAAATTAAATTTAATAAATTATTTTACTTCTGTTCAAAAAAAAATTTTCTAAAAAATAATTTAAGCATATTCTTATACTTAATATAATTCGATTTATCAAACAACCTTTTGCTTCACTTTTTTTTGGAAAACAATTAGAATAAAAAAAAATAGAATGAAAATAGTTTTTAACAATTAAATACTTTTTAAAATTAACGTGTGTTTTAATGTCAGCATGAATGTTTTTTTTTTTTTTTTTTTTACATCACTTCCAACAAGGCTGCAAGCAACCACTATAAGAGTTGGAAGTTACTGGAAGAGAAAAGACTAAATCTGTAGAGCAAGATAACGATTGACTGATGACTTAAAAGATTGCAAATTATATGAATCAGGAAAGCAAGATGAAGGAAGCGAATTCCAAAGAACTGATGTTCGAGGAAAAAAACTAGAAGAATAAGAGTTTTTGAAGCACTTAGGAACAGTCACAGAAAAAGGATGAGACTTAATTGAATGGCGAGAATGAATTTTAGTAGATGGCACAAGGGACGCTAGCTCTTTAGAGCAGTGCCCATTATAGTATTTGTAGAAAAGAGAAAGAGAAGCAACATTACGACGATGTGACAAAGGTTGGAGATTGGCTGCCAGAGCAGGTCCAACTATGTTTACAATTCGTTTTTGCACCTTGTCTAAAAGAGAAAGAGCATCATTAGAAGATCCGCCCCAGATGTGGCAACAGTATTCCATACAGGGACGGATTTGAGATTTATAGAGATAGAGAATAGAATCTGGAGTAAGAAAGTGTCGAGCTCGATAAAGAGATGCAACCTTAGCAGATGCTAATTTTGCAATGGATTTGATATACGGTTTAAAAGAAAGATCAGAAGTAAAAGTTAATCCTAGAAGATGAATGGTAGATGACTCATCTAGTACATTACCATTCATAAATATAGGAAGATCTAAATTATTACGATAACGATTGGCCGAATAAAATTGAGTTTTATCTGAATTAAAGTTCACCAGCCACTGTGAGCCCCATGCTGTAGCAGAAGTGAGATCCTTTTCAAGCTCAGATACCCCCTCCAAGCAATCAGAGAGTGTAGGCTTCTTATCATGACAAGAGTAAATGGTAGTGTCGTCAGCGAATAATGCCACCTTAGATGTGAGAATATCTGGAAGATCGTTAATGTAAATTAAAAAGAGTATAGGGCCAAGGATTGAACCTTGAGGAACCCCTGAAGTTACAGGATGTGAAGAAGAGTGTTGTCCATCGAGGACAACTTTTATACTACGATTAGAAAGAAAGGACTCAATAATCTTAAAGACGTTACCAGCTACACCATAAGAAGAAAGCTTATGGAGAAGACCAGCATGCCAAACTTTATCAAAAGCTTTAGAAATGTCAAGTGCGATAGCCTTAACCTCTCCACCTCTATCTATTGCACGGTAAAACCTATCGGTTATTACTGTTAGCACATCAGCTGTAGAACGAGAAGGTCGAAATCCATATTTATGATCAGAAAGTAGGTGACGAGATTCGAGATAAGAGATTAAGTGTTTGTTAATTAAAGATTCAAAAACCTTGCTTATGACAGGAAGAAGACTAATGGGGCGGTAGTTAGATAAATCAGATCGCTCTCCGGAATTTTTGAAAATAGGGATAACAGATGCTGCTTTCCAGCATGATGGAAAACAAGACTCTGATAAGCACTTGTTAAATAGTTTAGAAAGTATGGATGAAAGCTCCGGAGAACACCTCTGCAAGACTACAACAGGAATGTTGTCAGGACCACAAGCTGTTGAAGAGTCTAAGCAGGAAATTACTTTAGATACAGAAGCTGAAGTGATGCGAATGTCAAGCAAGGGATCAACCTGTTTGGCGGCTATGTCAGGTAAAACGCAACTAGTGGAATCAAGAGATGATATTGATGAAAAGTTCTTTGCAAACAATTCAGCTTTGTCTTTAGGTGAGGTGACAAAGTCTGAACCATACAAGAGAGAAGGAATAACAGATTTGCCCTTATTATTGATACTGTTAAAGATTCTCCAGAAGTCTCGAGAGCCTAATTTTTGTGATGAGATACAAGATTTAATGACCTGGGAATAGCGAGCTTTGGCGTCAGACAAAACCTTTTTACAATGGTGAACAGATGTCTGTTTTCTGGAGAATTGTTTTGCTGATAGATATGGAAGTAACGGTTTCGATTAGAAATTGCTGCAGCGCAATGTGAGGAAAACCAAGGAGAAGAGTGAGGCTTGACCTGGAATCGTCGAGAGGGAATAAAAGATTCCATGCCAGCCTGAATCCACGAAGTTATGTAAGAAGCACATTTGTCAGCAGGAAGACGAAAGATTTCTACCCAAGGGCCATCACGAAGAAAATCACGGAAAGAGTCCCAGTCAGCTTTAAGGTAGTTGTATGTGGTACGATGACAGGGGGATTCTGATGAAGTAGAAGAATTTGATAATAGTTTTAGAGAGATCAAACCGTGATCAGAAGTACCTAAGGGTGAATGTGGAGAAATTGAGCACTGACTAGGATCCAAAACAAGACATAAGTCGAGTAGAGAAGGTAAATGATTAGGGTTGTCTGGAAAACGAGTTGGAAAGTTGACTATTTGAGTTAAAGATTGAGAAAGGCAAAAGTTGAGGGCCTTAACGCCAGCAGAGGCACTGACACTAGAGCCAAGCCAATCGGTGTGATGGGCATTAAAGTCACCAACAACGACGATATTGGCAGATGGATAAAGGGAGAGGGCTTGGTCAATTTGATCAGAAATAACATCAAGAATAGTGCAATCTTGGGATGAAGGAGAGCGATATAGAACAAAGAGAAAGGCGATAGAGTGAAGTTGTGCTAAACGAAAGCACATAAATGAATAGTCTGTAGATTCAAACCTAGTTTCACGACAAATGGGTGAGTTCTTACGAATGTAGATGCCTAGGCCAAGCATGTGATTATTGGAGTCTTTACGAATTAAAGGAAGATAACCATCAACACTAAGATCACAAGATGGGACAGCCGAACTCAAATTAGTCTCACAAAGAGCAAGTAGGTCTGGTGAACTTTGCAAGAGATAAGACTCAACAGAAGAAAAGTTACTTCGAAGACCACGAATATTAGTAAATGATAGGTTTAGAGAACTTGGTGATGACGATGGTTTTTTGTGTTTATTAGTTTTAGGTACTTTAGTCATTTTAAATTTATAAAGAACTTGACTCAAGTATAGATAGTACTCAGTACACTATTTAACAACTAAGCAATAGCCTCATTACTATTAATAAACCCTAAGCTGTAGCAAAGGGCTCCAAATGTGGCCTCTGCAATGCACACCAAAAGTACAAACAGGGACACCATCCATGCGCAACATGGCACTGTTAGTACTCTGATATTTTTCGGCTGTTGATGGAATCAGCCTCTCTGAGAGCTACCACAGAGTTCGGGAAACCTGACTACCAGCCGGCCTCAGAACCATAAAACTGAGTTTTAGAGCTGTACCCTCATTAGGAGATAATAGAATGAGTTGCCCAGTCATAAAAATAGAGACACAAGCAATACCCACGCATTGAGTCAAGAAGATCCAGCGTTCAACATCCTAAACTGGAAACAATGTATTAAAAATACATCTGCGCCAGCCTAATAGATGAGGAAGGGGTGCGAGGCTGGTCAACAGATAGATTCTGTAAATAGTTTTTAATAGTTTTCTTTGACTAATTAAAGTGGTTTAGATATTATAATGTTGCTTTGTCTCTTTTTTTTTTTACTTTTACTTTTTTAAGTATCATGTTAAGTAAAATATACTTAAAGAAATATCTTAATAGTGTTAAAAACGTTATTGCTTATTACAACTGCAACTTAAACTTTAAGTTATAACTTAAGTTGTAAATAATAACAGTAACTTACGCTATTTTAAATTCTGCCAAACAAGAAAATTATAAGATTATATTTAAATAGAGATAATATGTTAAAAATAGAACAATTATGTATAAAAATTACAATTATATACAAACGCAACTTCTATCCCTCCCCCCCTCCCATTACCGCAAAACGGCGCAAGGTATAAGGGGGAGGGTGTAAAATTCGAGTCCTGAAGTGCATAAAAATAGTAGATATCTTTACAAAAAAAGGTTTTAATTTCTAGAAAATAAAATCTGTAATACTGAAGTGTTTGACAGCAAATTAAACTATAAATTTTTTACATATAAATAGTTATATCTTAATTATAGTTCAAGTAATGTGTTCCATTTTGAAAATTGTTTAGAATATTGTTTTGTTAAATACAAATAGCATCTGGTATTTTTAATGATGATTCTGATAGTTAAGACAAATAAAGAATTCAAATAAAGGTAAAAGTGAATTGACATTGAGCTTATTTATTTTAGAGAAAAAGGCCAAAAATTGATAGAACACAGATAGGATTACCAACTAATTTTCAGGTATTATGTTGTTTAGTATACAGATTAATGTTTGTATTGTTTGCTTACTATGAGTATTTATAGCTAAAAAAATAATATGTAAAATTATTTTATAATTTTTAATTTTAATAAATTGATTTTAAGTATTTTAAACTATTTGTTTACTATTTTACTTGTAACATGAGTGCAATCAATATATCATTATGTTAGTAAAATTGTTTCTACTGTAATATTTAATGATTATAGAAATAAATGTCAAATATCAGTATTTGACATTTATTTCTATATTCAGTAGTTAAAATAAGAAATGATAGCTCATTAGAAAAACAAATGTTATTTGTAATGAAAGTAGTTACAGCTTTTTTGTAATGAAAGAAGTTACAGCTTTTTTGCAATTTAATATTAATAACAATTTAAAAAAAATTTTGTTTTCCAAATTTACCATTTTTTTAGAATCATTATTGTTATAATTTAAGCAGTGTGTATTTTGTCGGCATGTGTTAATAGATTTTCCATATTTTTCTAGTACCATTTCCCTGAACTTTTCTTGGTTTTTTGATATAAGTTTATCAATAGCATCTGTTACTTTTCAAGTTTATTTGCTAATACTAAAATCTATTTTTTCTCAAATTACAATTTCTTGAAACAAAATTATTTGCATTCTATTTTTAATTTATAAGTATAAAGAGTTTTAAGAATGGCAACTTAAGCAAAAATATTAGAGTTAGTAAACCAATATCTAGAAACTTTTTTTTGTATCTATTGTAATCAATTGCAGGCGCTGTTCTAGACAGCAATGAATGATTTTGAGTGATTTTTAGGCATTGCCCAAATTCAGAAGTTGAGGACTTTTTTTGTTATTATTGTTTTGTTTTGTTTTTGTTACAGAAAAATGTCATTTTTCTACAACATTTTCATCAATGTATCTTTACCGCATGCATTGGCACGAGGGGTACTGCCTCCCAAGTTATTTTTCTAGGAAATCTCCTGAATTAATATACTCTTAATAACAAAATCATATTTGATCCTAACACTTTTTACTAATGTCACGATTGTCTATTATTTAGGATTAAACAAAGTTAAAGTTAAGATTAGCAATAGAAAATTAAATAATAAAGTTTTCCTTTTACCTATTATTTAACTTAGAGTTCCAAAATAAATTCTAATGTGGTCTAATCAATGCACACTAGTGTTAAGACATTTTTGGCTTGGTCGGGAAGCAAGAGCGATTGCTCTCGATTGCTGACCACATAAATAATATTTAGTTGCGAAAAACTGGCCAGATTTTTTAGTCGTTTTGAGAACATTTTTAAAAGCAAAAAAAAAAGCAATAAAGATTAATTGGACCAATAAGGGACAATTACAAAAAAAAAATTAAAGCTAAATAAATATACGTTTAGAACAAATATTTTCGAAACATCGCTCTTTTATAATTTTTTTTATAAAATTAAGCGATGTTTTTTATATAAAATAACAACTTAAAAAGGAAACAAATATTCTTTATTAACAAAGTTTGCAAGTTTTAGTTTTATTTAAACTAAATTATAAATAAAAAAGTTTATTTTTTTAATACCTATTTTATGTTTCGCGTAGTTTGAAAAGTTTAATGTATTTGAAGCAATTCTTCTTAGTAAGATAAACAAATGAAATAATTAAATCATTGAATTACTATAGAAATTAAATTAACAAGATAGAAATCAACTAAAAAGGTTAAAAATACTTAATGAAGAGAAAGCGAAACTGCTTTACAATATCACTGATGATGTTTAGTGAGTGGACTTTTTAATTTTAATTAGTATTTAAAGCAGAAAAAAGTATAAAGAGTTTTAAGAATGGCAACTTAAGCAAAAATATTAGAGTTAGTAAACCAATATCTAGAAACTTTTTTTTGTATCTAATTATTTGCTATAAATATTTGTTACTTTTTATGCATTGTTTGTGTTTAGTAATCAGAAACTTCTTATATGTTTGTTACATAATTAATTTTATTAATTATATTATAACTTCATTGAAATTATAACTTAACGATTATAACTTATTGATTAATAATTATAACTTAACGATTATAACTTCATTGAAAATGCAAATATTTTTGTAAGTGATTGTTTAAATCATAAAAATTGATTTAAAAGATACATTACGATAAAAAATAGATACACACAATTACATTTTACATAAAGAATACATACTTTTTAAATAAAAAATAAGAATATACTAATAAAATCTATAATTTATAATAAACTTTTAAAATTTTGACAATTTAATTAATATATATTTAAAACATTTATTTTTGTAAACAAATAATATATTTTATAACAAATAATATAATTTATGCTAGAAATCTCAAAACGTAACAAATCGTTAATAATACAATTTCTAAAACATTTCAACAGAATACTCTAGAACTTTATTTCACTTAGTCAGCGTATTTTTCAAACCAATAGAATTAGTTTGTTCATTAATTTAGCGGGTTTTTAGTGTTCGCAAATATTCTTTTTATTCTTTCGCACCAAGATATTTTGAGAACATTCAAGTTGTTTATGTTTCCATGTATGTACAACTAAAAAACCTGACCAGTTTTTCGCAAATAAATATAATTTCCGTGGTCAGTATTTGAGAGCGATCGCTCCCGCTTCCTGACCAAGCCTGCGGTTGTATCTATGAAAAATAGTAAACTTTTGTTTGAAAATAAGTAATAGGTCTTTGGTTTTATTTAATTTAGAAAAAAATGCAATCACCATTAACCTTGCTTACATGCTGGTTTTCATCTATCAGTATCAATAAAATTTCTCCCTAGTATTTTAACCTGGATCATAAAAGAACCAGAATTTTATAGAGATGTTTTAAATAAAAATTGCCATTAAAAATCTTATAAATTTTTGCTTCCAATAATCCAAAAAAAAAAATTCTCAATCTAGCTCTTATTAAAAAAAAAGAATTACAATCAAACTCAAAATCTTCAGAAAATAGCTCTCTACTTACGGTTAAAACACTATTTATTGTGACACTTAAACCCCAGTGATATGATGATATACTTGCTTGACATCTAATATTACAAAATTTCAATTTTTAATCCAATACTTAAACTCTTCCAGCTGAAAAATACTGGTTCTCTTTGAGGTTAGAGCACAAAAAAAATAAATTATCTGCGTTTAGCTTGTATAAATTTAATATATCGAGCAAATTATCTGTTTAACAAATCTTGTAGTTGGTAATACACTCAAAGGAAGTAAATTTGTATTAGAACATCAATCCAATGCAAAAGCAAACTTATAACTAAAAACTTGAATTGCAAGTTTGACCTTCATAGATAAAAGAGGACCAGGGTCTAAGTGTTAGTTAGAAAACTTAAAATATTTTTTTTTAATTAAGTTTTAGAAGGTTTCAATTATCTCAATAAAAACAAATTATTTATACTTAACAGGAAAATAAAAAATTAGTATTTTAAGTTTTCAGGAAGCTGTTATTATTAAAATATTTAACTTTATTCTGCAAACTATTATAATTCCATTTCCTTTCTCCCACAACCAGGATCTCCATTTCCAACAATATAAAAGTCTTTTTTTTCATCAATAATTGCATATAAAATAACAGCTCACCAGAGCGCAGTGGTCTGAAAAACTTGAATTTTGGCCAAAATTAAAATTTTTGATGTTTTTATACTAAATCAATAATGGTGAATCTAAATCTGAAAACAGTTTTTGATTTAAAAGTCTTGTTCAGATATCGCATAAGCAGCCCAGTCAAGAATTTCAGAAAAAGTTTTCATTTTTTTGCTTGTGGTTTCATAATATATCAGATTTATATATATATATATATATATATATATATATATATATATATATATATATATATATATATATATATATATATATATATATATATATCTGTGTGTGTGAGTTTAAATGGGTTGCAGCAAGGGAGGGGGATCAAAAGCAATGCTCCCCTCTCTCCACAACAATAAAAAAAAATTTTATATCAAGCTAAATCTAAATATTTTAGTTAAAAATTGTAGGTGATGATTTCCGTTTATTTTTCACAAGTTTTTTATTAATATTTTTGAATGATGAATAATAAAAAATACAAGCGAAAATTCCTAAAATTTGTCATAAATTGGGTATTTATTTTTTCATGAAAAGCTACTATTCTAATTTTCAATTTAATAATCCATCTAAAGATATATAAGTCAATACATTAAATTAAAAACCATAATATAAAAAGTATACGTACGTACAATACGGAATAACAAAAATATGATTAAAAATATGGTATAAAAACAACACAAATATAGTGTCAATAAATAAATGGTGTGGTTTGCAATGAATATTAGTTCCTTTATCTGCAGCTGATTTTTTTAGGAATTATTAAGCGATAATAGATGTTCAAAATATACTATGAATATAATGTTTTAATAGCAGGCTTAGCATTTTACATAGATTTTAAATTTACCAAAATATACATTTTTTAAAGTATTTTTATCTAGTTAAATATATGGAATATATTATAATTATAAAATAAAATGAATAACTATTTTAAACAATTTAGGTAGCAAGTTCGATTGTATAAAGAAAAAAAAAATGTTTTGAACATGTATTTATAGAAATAAAACAAAAATAGGGATACTAGTATTTTTGTTAACATAAAAAAGTTATATTTTGGGAGCTTCAAAGTTGGTTTAAATAATTTTATCTGCAGTTGATATTTTGTGTGAATAATATATGCTTATTAGGATTTAATAAAATCATATTGATCAAGTCCATGCATGCAGACTTTAGTTTTAGGAAGAAGTTGAAATTGAAAAAAAAAACTTTTATTTTATGCTAGTTTCAAACATAAATAACTTATGCAAATATACAAAAATTATTATTTCAAATTAAACTCTATACTATAAAATTTGTTTTAAAAAAAAATCTATACATATGTGCATATAATTTTAAATTTATACAAAAATGAAAAAATGTATTTTTGCAAGAAATTATTCTTTGCTTTTAATCGCTTTTTGATATGGTTATCAACTTTTCTTTCAAGAAAAAAAATGAAACCTATATATTTTTGAATTGCCTGGTCAATGTTGTGTCAAAAAATAACAAAAATTACCAAAAATTATTATTATTTTTTTTAATTTTGGACAAAAATCAAGTTTTTCGAACCACTGTGCAGAGGGCTTGTTTGTATTTCTCATATGAATTTTTTTTTTAAATTTAGTTTTCACTAATATAAATTTATGGTTTTTTTTTCGTTTTTTTTTGTTTTTCAGCATACTGGACATATAGGTTCTGGTGAAGTCGCTGCTGGATTTGACGTAAGTTGTTAACTTTAGATAATTATTTAGAATTTAATTGTTAAAATATTACACAATTTAAAAGGCTTTGTACTTATTTTAATTTAAATAGTTAAAATACTAAATTATACTTATAAGTCATGAATTGTAATTAAATTTTTTTTTTGCTGTAATAAATCTTTATATGTTATCCTTAATATATATACTGATATGAATATATGATTTATGCACTGAAATACATTCTTTCACAGAAAATGTGTTCAGTCTGACCATGCATATAACATGTCTTTGATGACTTGACCATGGCTCTTTGCATGATTTGCGATCTCTGTGATCATGATCGCAGGAAATGTGTTCAGTCTGACATGAATATACCTGACCATGCATATAACATTTCTTTGATGACTTGATCATGGCTCTTTGTATGATTTAGAAGTTCTGCATATAAAAAATGTTTTTTTTTTTTTCAGGTTTATCTTTTATTTATTTTTAATGGTTGTTTTTTTAATATCCTCTGTTAAAACATGAAAAGAGCTGTGGCTAAGTTGTCAAAACAGAGTATTATATGCATGGTCAAGTAAGACAAGACTGTATGCCTCACCTGCAAAAGACTGAATATATATTTATATGTATGCATGATGTAAATACTGATGCATGTGTGTACTGATATGTATGTATGGTGTATAAACTGATATATGTATGTATGCCCTGTCTGTCTTTATTTCAGTAGAATATTTCCAGTGACAATTAATGTGCACCTTAGTGCTCATGAGATATACTTACCCATACAAAAATTTTTAAAATACGAACCTAAATGTAGGCTTGTACTGGAATGGCACGCGATTGCATGCTGTACTAACCATGCTTATAATTTTTTTTCATTATAATTTGACCACTATTTTAATCTTTTAACAATTTAAATGCAATAAAAAAAATCATTATATTTTAAATATTTTTTAACTTTTGATCTTTTTTAAAGTTTTTATCTTAGCTTAGGCTTTAAATAAAATAAAAAATAAATTATAATGATCATTTAAAATAAACACGTTTTGTGCAAATTAAATATTTAATTTTTTTTTTGAAGGCATGTAATTTTATGATCAATATAAACTATTTTTCTGTCTTTCTAAAAATCTTTTAAAATATTATATTTTCAAGTTACTTTAAATTATAAGTTAAATTAAAATCTTTCCATTGCCACAGAATGATTTAATTGTTTTATTTTTTGGTTCTATTTTTACAAAAAATTGTTTAGAATTTTTTTTTCATAAACTTGACTAATGAATTAATTAACAATAACTTCTTTTTTTCAAAAAGTGGGGGAAAAAATTTTGTTTTCCAACTTTTTGAAAAAAATCTTTTTACAATTCAAAAATATTATATTTTATCCTTTTCAATAAATTAATTTCACTTTTCAACAATTTAAATAAAATTTGTTCATTTATTAAACAATAATTAGAATTAATTTATAAAAGTGTTTCAAAAGATAACTTTTAAAGTAATTTGTTTCAAAAGCAGTTAAAAATGTCATAAAAAGAAATTTTCGCTTAGAGTTTGAGTTTTTTGAATTTTGTTTTAAAGCTTATATATTTTCTTTTTCATAAGGAATTGTTTTCTTTTTTCTTTATTATAATAATTTTTTTTTTCCTAGTTAAAGACTTAAAAAAAAAACTTCAAAACGCTTAGCTAAACTGTTTAGTGTTTCTTTTTTCATCGCATTTTTGAAATTTTTAAATTATCGAAACAGTTTTGGTCATGTTGTTAACGAAAAAATATAATTTGCCTGGTCAGTAATAGCGCTCGATCACACGCCATGTCCAAGCCTATAAATGCTAAGATTTTTTTTTTTAAAAGAAAATAAAAATAAAAAACTTACACAATAAGTTTCTTTTTTACATAAATACTACCTCTTTATCAAAAGCGTACATAAAATAGCTTTACGTGTACAAGAATTACATGCAGTTTAATGTTTTAAAACAAGGCCTGTAATGAATATTCAAAATCTGCCATTCATTTTATTGAAGTAATGTTTACATAAGTAACTTCTTTTAACTGCTCCAGTTTCAGGATCATTACAATCACCATGGCTACTGGCAGCATATCATCCAGTATAACCTGCCCCATGTCCTGATGCCTTGTAGGATTTGCTTTTTTATTCAAATGTTAGGAAAAATAAACTCTGACTTAAAATACCCCTTGCCTTGATGCTCTTGATTGAGTAATGGCTAAAGATAGTGTCTCAATAAAAATACTCACTTTAGACAGATATTATGACTTTATTAAAGAGCAGGACTGAGACAACTTGCATAGCTCATTGCTTTAAGTGTCATGCTATATCTATGATTTATCCAAGTCAACTTGAATTAAAACATACCTGAAGCATCTAAAAATATTAAACATAAAAAACTATTGCCATCACCTAATTGTTTAAATCTATTTTTTAAAAACAGTCTGATCTTCAGATTTTACAACAGACCTATCTGCTGTAAAATCTGAATCCTCTAACTATTTTCTTATGTGCTTCCATTTATCTTCTCCTAATTTAATCTTTCTCTTGTTTTTTTAATGTTCCCCTTCTTCTCTAGACTGCACTCTTTTAAAGTAATTTCTAATCAAATTAATCTGCCTTTTCTCTTTATCCCTAATCCAATATTAATGTTGTTGGGGACACCACATCGATTGGCTTCGTTATAACACCACAGACGATGCTGGCACTAAAACTCATAACTTCTGTATTTCTCAATTTCTTACTCAGATAGTTAACTTTGTGTTTTGTTTTCCAGACAACACTTATAACTTACCTTCACTACTTCTATCATCAAACATTGCAATCTCACAACATTTGCTCCATTCATATCATACTCAAACTTACAATTAAAATCTTTTTCCATTTTAGAACTGTGCTTAAATTGCAATGATTGTATTTAGTTTTTGATATCAATAAAGACACCATGTTATTGATATTAAAATTAAAACTAACTTAGAATTTCTTAGCAACCAAGTTGTATTATTTTACTGAGGTCAAAATACATAATGTTTGAAAATCAATTTGTAAATATTTTGACCACATTAAAAGATTATAAAAGATGTGAACTTTCTTTAGAAACTATAGTTTAGGCATTTTTTTATTGCAATGGTTACATGCAATTAAATAACTATTTTTAAATCCTACATATATTCGGTTATATAACTACTACATATAATTCGTATCAGAGTAATAATACATTGATTGTATTAAATTCCTTCATTCAACCCATGAATATATGTGTGTGTATATATATATATATATATATATATATATATATATATATATATATATATATATATATATATATATATATATATATATATATATATATATATATATATATATATATATATATATAAATATATATATATATATATATATATATATATATATATATATATATATATATATATATATATATATATATCTGTTTATATATATATATATATATATATATATAAGACATGTTGTGTTCATATGTTAAAAAAAAACGTCTGAGCAAATTTTTTTTCATTAAAAATAATTAATAAATGTATACCAAGAAAAACAAATCTTGTTGTTTTAGTCGAAGCTCGTCTTCTCTGTTTTCTCTGGTATTTTGAGTATGTAAAATAAACGCGATTTTCCAGACGCATTATACAGACTTGATAATTTATTCAAGCGCGTTTAATTCATAGGAGTTTTAGTGCATGACGTCATAGATTTTTTTGTTTGTTTGTTTGTATAAAACACCAATTGTTATTTTTTAGATACAATTTCCAAATCATATTCATTTTTATTATATTTTAAAGTTCTAAAATGTGTTTGTTAAACAAAATTAAAAACAAAATAAAATTAATAACAAAAATAAAATAAAAAACAAGATGAATTTTATTTGCGCAACTTTTTTTAAATAATCGTCTAGACCACATGTATTTTGATTTCTTTTGTTATAAGTTTTTCTTTCAAAATATTAGATAAAATAATTTTTAACCTAAATAATAATGCACTTTTATTAATTTACTTTGTAAATATTAAAAAAAAAAATTATTAACACATTTTTTCTCTGATTTTCAAAAATGTATTTTTTGGTATTGAGGTGATCTTATTTCGTTATTTATATTTTTTAACATTATAACATCCAATATATGTTATGGCGGGGGCTTAAAAATTAAAAAATTAATATATATTAATTTTTATTTTACAGACATACATGGAAACATAATTAACTTGAATGTTCTTAAAACATCTTGCGGAAGAATAAAAAGAATATTCGCGAACACTAAAAACCCGCCAAATTTGCGAACAAACTAATTCTATTGGTTCAAAATTTTGAAAGTTAATTACAAATTATATATTTTATTAGTATATTCTTAATATTTATATCTTTTCTTAGTGCTTGGTTTAATTAATTGTTCGTTAGATTTGTAAAAAACTAACAAACAATTAATAAAATAAACTTTTAATAAAATAAGTAACTATAGTTAGCTATTTGAGTAAAATTTAATAGTAAAATTTTTAAAGAATTTCTAGAATGTTTCCAATGACGTAATGCTTTAAAACTCCTATGAATTAAACGCGCTTGAATAAATTATCAAGTCTGTATAATACGCCTGGAAAATCGCGTTTATTTTACATACTCAAAATACCAGAGAAAACGGAGAAGACGAGCTTCGACTAAAACAACATGATTTGTTTTTCTTGGTATACATTTATTAATTAGTTTTAATCAAAAAAAATTTGCTCAGACGTTTTTTTTTAACATTCTCTTTAATATGAACACAACATGTCTCAGGACTTGGTAGTCCCTTTAAAAGCAAAGAGTTTGAAAGTATTTTTAAATTGTTTTTTTTATATTTGCAATACTTTGTTGTAAAAAATAAAGCCCATAATATTTTGATAAAATAAGCACTCAATTCATGAAAACACATGCTAATATATATGCCATTAGGTTTTTCACCTAATCCCGTTAGGTGAAAAACCTAATGGCATATATATTGGCATGTGTTTTATCTGAAAATAGAAAAGTGAATGTTATCAATAGTTTACAATATTATTTTTATTTGCGCATATTGTTTCTAGTCTACATATAGCCCGATAATAAAAAATGAATACAATATGTGGGAAAGCCGCTAAATGCAAAAAATTTTATAAAAAGTAGTGGCAGACAACTCAAAAGGTCATGGGTGACCAAAATTAAAGAACTGTTTACTTTCAGACACCCTTCTGGCAACCAACTAAAAGTCCGAGTGTACACTCCTGATAAATAAAAGTTTAAATGTTTGTAATTAATCAATTAGTAATAAAAATAAAGATAAAAATATATATACTCATAAAAATATATACTTGTATAATGCTTATTACTTACTAGCACTGATAATCACTCAATGATATATATCTCTCAACTTTGTGTCTGCATTTATAGACTCAGTGCCGTGCTGGCCCCATAGGCTATGTAAGAATCCTACATTGGTCTTAACCTATTCATCTTAGAAAAGCTTTTTGAAAAAAAAATTTCAACTAAATTCTAAAAATGATCAACAAAGCAAAGTGTTCAACTTATTATATTAGTATTTTTCACAATAGAATCGAGCCATTATCTAATATCACCCTCAAAACGAAGAACATGTTTGCAAAAAAGCCTTTTTTTATTGTATCACAAAAATTGCTATAAAATTATTTACAGATTTACATTTAATGTAAAAAATTTATTAACAGATTTGCATTTAATGTAAAGAATTATTGAAAATAAATTTTGAAAAAAGCAATAATTAAATTTAAAACTAAATTGTTTTATTGATAAAATGATACAATTAAAAAAACTATTTATTTGCAAATTCCTATCTGATCGTCATTATTGCTTAATTCAACCTTTAATGCGGTTTCTTTAAATTATTATATTCGCTAAAAAAGATATATATGAGGTAATAAAGATTTTTTGCTATTATTTTTGAGATTGATGTTAGATAATGTTTGTATGTAATTATACAAAATACTAATATACTCTCAATGTTTAACATTAAAATCAGATAATTACAAATTTAATTTGTAAAAGAATAAATCAAGTGAATTGAAAATAATTTGTTGGTCAATTAAAGAATAAAGTAAATAATTTTTTTTTCCCAAAAGGCCCTTCTTAGATAAAAAGCATAAGGCCCATACAGGATTCTTGTATAGCCTCTTGGGCCACATGGCACTGATAAGCTTTGATAATTAAATTAACCATATTTTGAAGAAAAAGACAACAAATATTTTTGTGGGTTTCTAATAATTTTTATAATGATATATTATCATTAAAATGATAAAAATTAGTTTTAAACACAATTTTCCAGTTTTTTGAAAAATATCAATTTTTTTTTACTATTTTAAGACTAAAAAGAAACAATTAGGATTTTATTTTCAATGTACTCTGAAGGTCACCTAAAACCCTATATTGTATCCCATGCAGTGGCATGCTGGCCCCAGAGGCTATGCGGGAATCCCACTTGGGTCTATCGCTATTTATTCATGAAAGGCCTTTTTCTTGAATTTTTATACCCTTTACTACATTCTGATAATGATTCACAAATGATGTTTATTTGCTTTATTTTTTTTTCCACAAGTTAAATTCTTTAACAAATCTCTGATTTGAACTGTTGGACTTCAAGTGCATATATATTAGTATTTTGCATAATGAAATGCAACCGTTTGTAACTTTTGCCTCAAAACAAAGTTGATATTGGAAATTATAATTGATTTTTAGGTCACTTAAATCGCTTATTAAATCAGTCGTTAGATAAAACTATTTAAGTTGACCAAAAATTATTATGATAAATAGTTGTGTTAATTTTAACTTATGGAAAAATATTCATATTGATAAAATGTTTTTTTAAATTAGAACAATTAATTGTTTTTTCATAAACAAATATCGTAACGTTTTTAAATATAAATAATTTGTGTGAGTTTTTATAAAATTGCTCTTATTGTATGTACTACTGGTATTTAAAAAGTAGTTAAATATTTTTTTATATTTTCAAGCATATTTGGCAAAATCCCGCATATATGAGCCTTTTTGAAAAAATCCTGCGTGTGCTTTTTGGTGCCAGCACGCGCCTGATCCCATGAAATTTTTTTATTTATTTAAAAAAAATAATGTTCAAAAAAATAAAATTTTCAAAACGTGAATACACAAGAAGCAGAATTTGGGGCAAATTTAAAAAAAAAAAAGGATTACAAAAAAAAAATTACAAAAATATTGACATTTACCTTGAGCTCAAGCAGCAAAAAAAAAAAAACTTATTTTTTTTTTTTTTTGCTTAAATTATGCGTAAATATTTTTAATTTTAAACAATAATTCTGGAAAAACCAGGATACACAACAATCTAAAAAAAAAATTTGGACCATTATGATCACATTAGAAAAAATTTTTTTACAAAGTATTGAGATTTACCTTGCGCTAAAAGCTCAAATAATTTAGGAACAATTTGGGGCATTTTTCAGGGTATTTTGTTATTTTAGCACAAGATAAATGTCAATATTTTAGGATTTTTTTTTTTTTTTTTTGGAATTATATTTTTTTTTTGACAGAAGACTTATCTAACTGTAAATTGTATAAGAAAATCATAAAGTCAGGAGACAATTTTAATTCATGTTTGAGGTGAAAAAAAATAGATAAAAACTTTTTAAGCATCAAGGTCAAATATGTTTGATCAAATACAAATGTGTTAATGAAAACAAGTTTTTTAATAAATATCCCTTAAAAACAAATATCTCAAATTTTTAGATTATTTTAGTGTCAAAAATGAAAAAAAGTCAACCTAGTTTACAGTGTGTGTTTTTTGAAAAACATTGAAAAAAATAAATTTATTATAACTTTTTTATATATAATATAAATTATTATTATAAATTTATTATATATAAACAAATATTTAAGAAATTTCTCAATCAAATACAAATACGCCAATTTAGCTAAAAACTGCCAAATACAAACACTAACTGCCAAATACAAATACATTTCAAATACATGTTTGACCCCAAACCTGTTAAATATAAAGTAACAGTAAGCGAATGTGTTACAAAAGTTGAACCGATGAAAGTTACTTTGAAGACCACAAATATTTGTAAAGAATAGGTTGAAACAGTTTGAAATATTAACATTTATTAATATGTAAAAAAAAATATTTTAAAATGTTGTATTTTCCCTATTGTTAAAATAAAAACAAAGTTGTTTTGCTTTTTTGTTTGAACTCTTTAATTGCTAATCACTAAGTTATTATTTTATTTTTATAATTATTTGAGTTTTTATTACATATTACTTACTTAGAATGATATTGCTCTTATTTTGAGATTAATATAATTGTTGTTTAGACTAAAACTTGTAGTAATAAATTGTTTATTTACAAAATTAGTTTTTTTATTTTTTATTTGTTTCGTTGTTGTTTTTTTCTCAATTTTTATTGATTTGTGTAGAGCAATTTTTATTGTTATGTGTAAAGTAGTTCTTTGATTATTAAATAAGAAATTTCAAAAGCTGTAGATATAAGTTATCTTAAATTATAATAATTTTTTATGACATTAAAGCTTTTATGTTTAACAAGAGCGACATAAAATGAAATTTTAAATTCTCTTTTGTTACAAAATCAAAAGTTGTTTATCAAGTGGTTGATTGTTTGACTGCATACCAACAAATTGAGCAACATTAAGAATTATATCTTTTGTGTTTTATAGTGATTTTTAATTTATCCGAGATGACCAGCCACTAATAATAAAAATGTCTTGATATAACACCTAAAGTATTAACCTAATAAAAGTGCCTTGATATAAAGCCTAAGTGTTTTATTGTTCTATATAAAAGTAATTAAATGTTGTTTTTATAATAAACCTGACTCTGTTTAATAATTATTAAGTTGATATTTGTTTAATAATTAATAGGTCCACCAGGTTCAAAACTCTATGCAATCTAAAGGTGGTTATGAACAACGACTACTATCATCAAATAGTAACACTTCACCTAATTTATCTAATTCAAATAAAACTTCGCCTAATCAAATAGATTTAACTCATGAACATAGGACTCAAGACAGTTCAAATAGTTCCTGACAGTTTGCTGTAAGTTTTTTTCTTTTTTCTTTTTTTTTTTTTTGAAATTTTAAATTACACTTAATTATGATCATAAAATATATTTTAAACACTTGTTTTGTAAGCATTTGAATTGAAAGATAATCTCTGCTTGTTTTATAAAAGAGATTGTTGTCAATTATATCTGGATACTCTCGTCATCCAGGAGAAAACCAGATTCAATTTTTCAACAATCTCTATTTTGAGGTAAAAATAATAAGGAACAAGTATAATTTATTAAAATAATTTTATAAATTTGTTAGTTTATTTTTTAATTTAACAATAAGACCTTGAAAGACACAATAATGCTTCTACTTCTAATTAAGTTTTCATTAGGTTATTTTTGTGTAAAAATAAAGTAATTTACTTCTTTTGCTATAACAATGAGACCTTGAAAGGTCTTATTGTTACAAATCTGAGTTTTGTTCTCAGATTAGGTTTGTAAAAATAAGTAGAGAACATTTTTGTTGTCTAGAAAACCATTTTTTTCCTAAATCTGTTTTACTAAAGTTTTGAAGAATACCATAAATTTTACCAACCTTTGATACTAAACTATTTTAGGAACCTTTGGTATAGTCTTTATTTATTTGGATTTCCTCATTAAGAGTTGATACTTGCTTCTTTTTAGCATTTTATTTTTATAAGCTAATATTCTAGGCATTTTATAAGTTATTTTTAAGAATAATTTTAAAGACAATTACATTGTTTGCTAATAGTCCTGTAGAATTTCTGTTAAATATTGGTAAATCCAAAAAAAAGATTATTATATAGATCTTATATATTGTTGGAAATCTTGTTTCTTCTTTAAAATGAGTAATTAATTTTTTTTATTAATGAACAAATTGTGACACAGCATGGAAAATAATGGCCATTCAATGACTGCTCAAAATGACTAAAATTTCTATTTTGACCTCCCAAAATGATTTCTTGCCGGTCATGGTTGACCAGTGGAAAAAACCAGAGTTTAAAAAAAAAAGGATTTGACAAATAATCAGGATTTTAATAGAAAAATGCATATACTAAAAATTCATAAAATCATTCAAATTTTGAAAAAGCGTTTAAAATAGTTTTATTGCTTACGATATGGGACTTTAATTTGCTTCGTTGATGAATATTTAATGATGTAAATTAAATCTATTCATTTTTTGGCTTCATTTAGATAACTTTATTTTTTACTAGTGGTAAAAATCCTTTTTTCATAAATGATTGAAGTTCTTATTTTATTACTATTTTAATAAAAACATTTAATATAATATTTTTATAAGATTTTTATAATTTTTATATGATATATAAAAAACAGGGAAGAAACATGTGCCAAGATATCCATCTGATAGCAGTAAGACAAATTTTTTTAAAAAGCTATCTGAAGTAACTAATCCACCAGAACAGAAAACAAATCAAAAACAAACGATTTTGATTGATATGATGTCAAGAGATCAGACATTAAATGCGAAGATAATTTGGTCGCTAGAAGTTTTAAAATGTAAATATTCCTACCGTTCTTCAGAGTCAAAAAATAAACTGTTTTGTTCTATGTTTCCAGACAATAAAATTGCTGAAAGTTTCATGTTTGGAAAAACAAAATTCAGTTACATTTTATGCCAAGGTGTTGTCCCTTTTGTCAAAAAGATAATGCTAAATGAATTAAACAAAGTCTCTTATTACACCACCTAATTTGATAAATCTTATAACAAAATATTTAAAAAAAAGTCAAATGGATCTACATGTTTGTTTTTGGGATGACACAGACAATGAAGTAAAAGCGTCTTATTGGAGTTGTGAGTTTTTAGGTAAAGCATCAGCGGTTGATGTTTTTTCTAATTAATTGTTTAAGTTCTTTGGATTGTACTAAAGTCCTCCAAATTTCTTCTAATGGTCCTAATATAAATTTAGCTTTTTTAAATCTGGTAAATGAAAGCAGAAAAGAAGATTTACTTGATCTTTTAATTAATTTTGGGACATGAAGTCTCCATACCCTTCATTGTTCTTTCCAAACCGGAGAAAAGGCTACTGACTGGAACATTAAGAAATTACTTATTTCTTTGTATAAAATATTTAGTCTTATTCGCAATGCTTAAAAACACAGTTATCCAAAAGAAATCAGTGAGAGCTACACCCCATACTCCTACTTCAGTTAGATTGACCTGGAGGCTCTTATTTATGGTGCTGCGATTGGAACAATAGTAAAATATTTGATTATATATATATATATATATATATATATATATATATATATATATATATATATATATATATATATATATATATATATATATATATATATATATATATATTTATATATATATATATATATATATATATATATATATATATTATGTTTCCCCAAATTAAAAATAATATTCCAAAGATATATAGCACTCTTCATAATAATTTTTTCCGGCATGAGACCAAATTCTGCAGGGCTATAAATTAATAGGGGAAATTAATACTTTTTGGTGAAAAGAAAGAACGAAAAAATATTTCAATACTTTTATAAAGTATATTCTGCTTTTATTCACCCTGTTTGTCAAAAATATAATTGTCAAAAAGTATTAGATATAGTTTTACTTTAAAAATCTTTTGACATGAGAGTAATACTTCTGCACTTAAGGAGGCTAAAAGTAAATATCTAAGGAAGGAAAAGGGTTATATTTAAAAATAAATAAATGCTACTTATTTGAATGATGTTTTACAAGCATGTTTATAATAGATCTTTTACGAGTTGTTGTTGCCATGCATATGTGTAGAAAATCTTTTTGTTAGACGCGTTTGTTTACAAACATGTTTTCACAAATCATCAAACAAAAGTACTAATTATATTTACAAAGTAATTGAAATGCAAATACCATGAATTCTTAACCCTTTGAGCGCTCGATAAAATTTGAACGCCGTTCAGAAAAATTCAACTAAAAAAATATCGGTAATAAACGTAACAAAAAAACAAACAAACAAGAAAACAACTATTTTTGAACTTTTTAATTTTTTTGTAGGTTATATAAGATTAAAAGCAGTTTAATGATTTTAATGCAAAACTGTAGTGTGATAATTTGAAAAACAGGCTGGACACAGTCCAACACCACATAACTGACACTGCCAACTTGTGCGGACTCGAGTTTGGTGCCCAGCTAGACATTTTATTTTTTTTCCTGCACCAACCTTAACAAGATTGTGACCATATAATGGATTGCTATTTGCAGTGTGTTGGGGAAGTGGGTACGGAACAATTGTACTTCTAGCCACTTCAATCTCTCTTGATGTTCTTCTTTTAGAAATTACTTTTACTGGAAAATAACCTCCGGCTAAACTTTCCACAATAGCCATCATAAATCTATTCTTGGCATTGTCTTTTGTTTATTTGTATTGAGCTTATACAATAAATAGCTATTTAAAATTGCCCTACCAAATAAAGAAAAAGCAATTTTAGTTGTCCACTTTATTGTTTTACGCTCAGACAAGTACACATAGAGTTGTGCATCACCCAAATCTACACCCCCCCCCCATGGTTTTATTGTAAAGGGCAAAAACTATATTTCCTCTTCTGTTACGCATTTCAGTAAAACCTGCTTTGGCAACAGTAGATAGTAATATAGGCTTTTTTTTACCATCTTGGTATGCCACACACAACAAGGGACCTTTTCTATATTGGCAAACCTTATTTTTTAATTTTGATTTAATGCAGGTTTCTGGTAGGCCTTTCCTGTTGACTCTCACTGTGCCTGATGCAGTGGTCTGATGAGCATATAGATCTAATAACAGTTGAGGAGAAGTATAATAATTGTCAATACCTAAGTGATGACCTTGGTGAAGGAAATTAGTTTGGCGCAAAAGATGAAAAACTAAACTATAAGTCATACCATAGGCAATGGCTGCTACATCTGGGTCTTCCTCCCTTGTAAATTTCAAATTGACACAAATAACCGTTAGTGCTGTCTGAAACACACCATAACTAAATCCCAAACCTGGAATGACGTTAGTTTGGCATATATTGACGCAGATGTGGTGTCATTCTTTTGTAGCCAACCATACTCTCATCTATAGATGTCTTTTTGTGGATAATAATAATATAGAAATTTGTTGTTAAAATGTTCAACTAAAAACTGAGTTTTTTAAATTTTATTGAGTGGTTGTTGATTTGGTATATGGATGTCTGTAAAATGAAGAAATTTAAGCAAAAGTTGAAACCGGTCACGATTGAAGTGGGTAACAAACCAGGGAGTAGATGCACAAAGATGACTTATATCCCAGTAAAGTTTAAGATTAGCTTTTTTGATGAGACCCATGTTGATTACGACTCCAAGAAAAGCTCTTATCTCTAAAAGATTTGTATTTCCTTGTTTAATCCATCCATGACCTCTTGATGTTGGATGGGACCTCAAATGTTGTTGATTGTTTTGAATCCACTTGTCAGCATAATTATTAGTAAAATTTACTATAGTTTGCAAAAATTCAGTAGTAAAAAACAAGTCCATATATTCAATAGGCTTAGACTCGGGTGAAATTGAGTGCTTGGGTCCTGATTCACCAGTAAAGTGAACAACATTAGGACCATTTTCATCTTCTAGAACAAATAACCAATCATCTAAAACATTACCACCAACATCACCTACATCAACATCGCCATCAGAACTGAAGTCTACATAAAAATTAAAATAAAAACTTCAAATTATCATACTAGGTGATATATTTGTATTAAATATTGTATACAATTTTTAAATTAAAGTTATCGTGCCTTCATCAAACAAACTGTCATCGCTGGAACTTAAAAATTCTTCGCTGGTACAACTCTCGTCATCAATACAACTTTCTTCACTGCTCATTTTCAAAACCAAATATATAACAACAATATACCAAAAGATAGAGAAAAATGTGCTTTATTCAATGCTACCATTTTTAATGAATCAGCGGTATTTTGCTGTAAAAAGTCATAGTTTCAAAGACCACTTTTAAAGCCGCGATCGTGGCTCTTCGCGCTCTGACGGTATAGCCACGATCGTGGCTCGTCGCGCTCAAAGGGTTAATAAATTATCAAAAGGTAATTAAATCTAAAAGTTTTTAAGTTAGTTTTAATGTTTTTTTGAATAAATTAAATTTTCTTCTACGCTTTTTTTTTTTTTTTTTTAGGTTGTTTCATCTTCAGCTTAGTTACAAAGATTTTTTGTCGATATTGTTTTCATAAGATGTTTATTTTAATGTTTTAAGATCTCACGTATAACTTAGTTAACTATTAAGAATCGTTAAATTTTAACGTACGTCTAGATTTTATTATTCGTTACTGCAAAAGAAAAAAATATGTTGTTTAAATTTCTTTAGCTAAATTATTCGTGAGAAATTATCTCTGATTCTTTTTAATTCAAGAGATAACAAACTTTATCAAATGTGTTTATAGCTGTTTTGTTTATTTTTTTTTTGTTTTGTTTTGTTGCTTTTTTTTTATTTTGTAATTATTTCGCTACTGTTATTTTTCGTTTTTAAAAATATTTTATTTCAAGTTGACAAATGCATGCAAATTAAAAAAATGCAAAAACTCTGTTAAAAGTTGTTAAAGAATTCTTCCTGAATATTCTGTATTTGATATTAAAAATGTCAAGACCTAATGTTTTTTGGTTTTTTTTTTACATAAATCCTGTAGGAAATTTTCTGACGCTTTTTTTTTTTTTTTTTTTTTTGTTGTAATTTTTTTTTTTTTTTTTTTTTTTTTTTTTTTTTTTTTGCACGGGTTCCTTTTTTATAATCATATTGTAAAAATAAATGATTCAATATTTACTTTATAATTCGTAAATGCGACTCTTGAATTTTTTTTTCATAAAATGATTATATTAAGATTTTGCTGACAATCTAACCTTAGCAAAAGTTAACATTTTTTATTTACCTAACGTCTTTCAACGCCTTTATTTACCTTCAACATCCATAGCAAAAGTTTTGGTTTATCTTTTAATTACTTTTAAAAAAATAAAAGACTCCGATAAAAGTATATTCTGCGATGTTTGAAGATTATAGATTTTGCAGATTTAAGATTACAAATTTCGGCCGTTTTTTGTATTTTACTCAATTTTTATAGAGTAAAATGCAAAAAGGTTACCCCAATAAACTAAATTATACCCGATGAAAAAAGTAAAGATTATTTCATATTAGTTTTTAATTTAGTTTAAAGTATGTGGAAAGTATTAGGCTCTAGGTTGTTACTGTTGTTAGCGTGGTTGATTACCTAGATGCATGGGTTCTGCTTCATTTGCATAGACAAGGCTTAATTTTGAAATCAGGTGTAAACATGCCTTCTTGCTCCAGCTATTTATTATATGTATTATACATAATGTATATGAAAGTTGTATTTATAGTAAAAGACGAAATAAACAAAAGATGATATTATTCTGATATGGAAAAAAGTTTTCTGTTCCTCTAAACAGAATAGTATTTAAAAGGAGAGCAGGGTCATGTTTTGGAGAAATGAAACAATGTTTTGCTTTAAAATCTTTGTTCGCGATATGAACATTCTTTTGCTCTTGCTCCATTTAGAAAACAAAATTTAGAAATATCAAAATCTTAGAATATAGCTAAAAGTTCCGTGACCGAGATCAAAGAAAGCCATATTAAAGTTGACTGTGAATAGCGCTATTCACAGTCAACTATATATTTGTTGCTATAGCAACAGCGCAGGTATACATCTTGTTATGGATTTATACTCTCGTGTGCTTAATACAAGATAGGGTCTTAATAAACGGGTTGGTAGGAATTTTTTTCAGTGAGTTTATATTTTCTAACTTTTTAAGCTGGTTTACACTAAAAGTTTTTTTTTCCTTTCTAGCTTTGAGATACAATTTCTTTATTAATAACTAGTAAAACTTAATAAATGGGGGGGAGGGGGTTATTTCCACCTACCCCCAGCTTATTAAGCTAGGAATGGGTGAGAAAATTAGATTATACGACTGCATTAGTAAAGCCTAAACTGTTGGTATACCCTCTCATTAATAATCACATCATCTTGTTCCGCTCATACAATCTACGCTCATTAAAACCAGTGCACAGTAAAAAAAAAAAAAACGATGATGAACGTCTTTTGTATGAGAAGCAACAGAATGAATTTTTAAAGAAAATCAGGTTCAGGTATCATTTGACGTAATAAATTTGTACTCATTGATCAATTTTTAAAATTGTTGGTATTTGAACTTTATCTGACATTAATAAATTAATCGACCTTTGCCAGAGTAATTGTTTTTTCTACACTGTAAAAATATAACGGTTAGTGAAAAATTAAGCGTTATGTTTATTGTATGTTAGTAATAAATAAGTCTGGAGCGTTATGTTCCCCAAAATTATTTACATATTCTTTTGTCTATGAAAGGCGTTATGTTTTGCCGTGTTACCCGTTATGTTAGTTTAATAACGTGGTAATATGGCATCAAAAAACTGTTTGTAAAAAAGCGGGATTTTTCGTAAATTGTGTTACCGTAAAATTGCCTAAGTTCGGTCACCGTGTGACTTCAATCATTTTTAAAAATATATATAAAAAGCATGAAAAACTCAAATTTAACTAATTTTTTTCTTGAAAAATATTTCTTATAACTTCGTAAATATGAATCTATAAAAAAAAATGTTTATTTGCAACCTGCTGAAATAATTATTTTGCAAAACAACAAAAAAAACATGGTATTAAAATCTTAAATAAGCAAAGTATTAAAGTAAATGATCAAATTTAATCTTAGTATCATTAAGAATCACCAAAAAAAAATTTTTACAAAAAAAAAATCCTTATTTTTTGAATATTAGCTACATTTTTTTTTTTTTTTTTTTTTTTTGAAAATTAGTGAAATTTTGAAATACACTGAATTATGAAATATATCGGTCACTCATAGAGAAACAACGCGTGAGACAATTTGCAGGAATGTTGAGAAATGTTGATATTTGAAAAATCTTACTATGTAAATTTGAACTAGTGTTGCAAATATAAAATTTATCAATAACTTTACCTGTAAATTTACCAGTAAATTTTGACATTTTTATTAAAGATTACCACCATCGTATTTTATTTGAATAAAGAATTTGTTTATAATTTCAAAATTAACCTGTTTTAAAATAAAATTTACCGGTCAATTCCAGGCAAGGTTATTGATAAATTTTATTTAACCATTGTCCGGTCCTTATTCGGGACAGTGAAAAGTAAATAGCGAGGACCCCTGAACAATAATTTCATTCGTAACAGTTTCAAAGATCTCGCAAAACCTAGCTACCGTGGGTTGCTCAAACAGTATTGACCAAAGATTATTTAACAACAATGTGCGTTCCGGCTTCAAAGCAAAAGGTATTTTTCCGTTGTGTAGGGAAAAAATGACTAATGTAAAACTAGCCATTAGAAAAATTTTTGCGCAATGTACTTAAGTCCTACCAATATTGCCTATACCGGTCATCATAATTCCAGAAATTACGTCAAGTATACAAAAGAACTTCAAGCTCCTTCTTTAATATGCTGTACAACTGCTTGTAAGCATTTAAAGACATCAATTCTAAATGCTTTACATGCTAGCATGCCCAAAACTTTCGTATCAGAGTCGAAGCTAAATGTTTTTAATAGTAGCATGCGTCTCATAAAAGGTCACATTATTACTTCTGAAGAAACTTTGACAGAACTTAAAAACAAGCAAATAATGGCACAAAATAAGAAGAACGAAATACAAGCTAGAAACACACACACACATATATAACGTTTCTCTTAAATGTTATACTAACATTTATGTGCAATTTTTAACACTTGTGTTTGTAGATCATAAAAATAGACATCACTTAACTGGTTTTACAAATAACTCTAATTTTTAATTGCCGAATTTATGAAGGAACATTTTCCATTAGATATTATATCTTTGAGTATTTAGGTGACCTCTGTGTAAATATCTCACAAAGTGACTGTGTACTCCAGAGTAAACCAATCGTTAAATATATGAGGGAGTTTTTTATTTAGGCATCTGTGTATAAAAAGATTTTAATTTTTAGTATATCATAAATAGTACAGATTTGGAGTTGTTTGAATTATGTATCTGTATTAAAATTATATGGCAAAAATTTAATCATTCTTATAGCCTTTTTTTGAAGGATCCATAGACGATTTACAATTAATGGATTTTTATTCCAGGTCGCGAGGCTGTATGTTAATTGAGAATGAAATAGAGCGTTATAAATAGGTTTTATAGTGTTTTTTTATCTACAAAGTCTCTTATTTTAGATAAAATTTTTAGTTAATTTAGTTGAGATATTATTATAATGATTGATCCAGGTTAAATTCTCATCTAGTGTTACTCCTAAATAGTTTACAAACTCCTTACAATAAATCTTTATCCCATTTAACTTAATGTTGATTTGAATGTCTAACTTTTTCTTGCTTTTAACTCTTTCGCGCCGAAACTGTTTGTTAACGACCTGTTTCGTTAACGATATAACGGTATTTATAATATATATAAAATCAACCCGTTTTGTAGTAATAAATCAATAATTAAAGTTTTTTTTTAGCAGAGCCATTAATCAAAACTACTTGATTTTATGCTTTAAAGGCTCAGCTTTAAAACTAGCCGTAATAAACTAACTTTTGAAGCTCCGTGATAGAAATAAGAGGTCCATAAATTACGCCACACTTAAGGGATGGGGAGGGGGAGCAGGGAAGGAGCGGGGATGTTAGTGGTTTATTGACAACTCATACGTAACATGTTACTAAAGTGTTAAAATGTCGTGACGAGGAGAGGGGAGGGATCTCAAATGGTTGAAAATTTAGTGACCTAGTTTGTAAACGACCCCTAAATTGACAGTTTTTTTAGAGTGTTTGATTTTGATTAAATTTTTTTTATTGAAAACTTACGGGATTATAATGTCCGCTATCACTGATATTTTAATTATTTTTTTTTAAGATTCGTAATGTCTTTGAGTTTATTCTTTAAAAAATATATAGTTTTAGAGTGCAAATTTGATGCCTTTCATGGTATAAAACTGTTTTTTGTGGTATTATATTTAATTAAATTTTTATGGTTCTGGCTAATTTGTTGATAAATTTTGATTAATTATTGAATTTCTTAAAGATTTTTAAGTGATAAAGCACTCAGTTTTTTTCTATTTTCTTTACAGACCACAAGTAGTTTTAAGTCTTGTTAAGTAATATATTAACTTTTTTTAAGGTATGTACCCAGACTTTTTTTTTGTAAAAGAAAACAAAAAAATCTGCAAAAGTCACGTGATATTTGTACCCGCCATCATGGGTATTTCATTTTTTTTTAAAAAGAGACACATTCTCTATTTATTTATCTTTTTGAAAGTATATAGTTATGGGGTGTAAATAAAATGCCTTTTATCCCTTTCATATCCCTTATCATTTTCAGTATAGTATTTTTATTTTTACTATTTACAAATATTAATTATAGGTGCGAAAGAGCTAAATATTATCAGATCAGTTTTTTGTATGAAATGGTGTTTAACCAGTTACAGAGTTTTTTAAGATCGTAGTTGACAAATTTATGATTTTATTTGACAAATTTGCTGAGGTAAAGAAGATTTGTATAGCTAGTCAAGTGTTGCACTCTGCAGAATTTTAAAGATTTTGATAGATCATTGATATAAATAA